AAATAAGATCCACTTCTTATTTGTGGAAGGGCGAAATGGGCGTTGACTATTAGACGCCTTCATTATAGCCATCCTTGTCTATCACATGGATTTCTATGGCTTACTTTATCGCTCTCACGTAACTTCTGATAGACCATCGGTAGTTTCCTACACTGTATGTTCAAATCTATAATTTTTAGTTCTGAATGTGTTGTATATAGGTGTTCTGACAAAGGATTGTATCCCATAAATTTAATTAATTTATTATAGTCTGTAATATTTGTACCAACATTGTGAGTTATAAGGATTACATTATAAATCGTAGGCAGAATTACGTATTATCTATTAGAATATTAGAATTAAATTTGATATCAACAGATTATAATGCATAGTTCATGAAATTATAATAGTCTTGTTAAATGTATTTAATGAAAATTTTTGTTTTGTCACTCGTGTACAATGTAAATATATTATTAACATACTTTTTCTACAAATTTACAGCTGGAATTTCACAAGGACATTGCACAAAAAATTGCCCAGAAAAAGATAATGGGGAGGGCATTAAAACATGCCGCGGCATGCAAATGAGAGACTATAAAAAGAGACCAGATCAACAGCACATAAGGAATAGTTATACATATAATATAAATAATAACTTAGTGGTGTATATAACTTTGTTTATATTCTGTAATAAAAAATTGGTTCGCTGAAAGAACAATCACAGTACGCGCTAGATCTTTAAAACAGTCGGACGAAGTTCCGATAGCAGAATTAAGAAGAGAAACCTTAATAGTTTTCCCAAGCCCATCCCATCTTACCTATAGGCCTAGTTCTAATAAGTTATGGTCTATTTTTTCTTGCAGGAGTTAGGAAAGTAAAGCACCTAAACACGGAAGATCTCTGGAAAACTGATGGTACTGGAATTCGGGCATTTCGTCTTATTATGAACATAAAAAGGGTTCGTTTTTTGTTGACATATATCCGTTTTGTTAACATTGAGACACATCAAGAAAGGCTAATTAATATTAGACAAACTCGCTGCTATTAGGGACATATTACATAAATTCAATACTAACATAGAAAAATGTTACACTCATTCTTCTTATGTAACGGCGGATGAAAAATTAGAAGCATATAAAGGTAAGTGTCATTTTGGGCAATGTATTCCTAACAAGCCAAACGTGTATGGGTTGAAAATATTTGTATTGTGTGACGCAAAAATGTTTTATGCATGTCACATGGAATGTAGGTCAACAACCAGAGGGTCCATATAAAGTTTATACATCTGGTCAAGCCAATCCAATATAATTCGACAGACAATTGGTATAGAACTTAGATAGACTGGTATAGAACTTGCAGAATATCTGAGAAACAAAGGGTTGACGACACTTGGAAGAATTAGAGAAAATAAGATCCATTCTAATAGAATTTTCGCAGAGAAATACTCGTAGTCGTCCTATTGGTTCCAGCATATTTGGTTTTGGCCAGAGTACAACTTTAACTTTGTATATACCGAAAAAGAATAAAATTGTTTTGATATCCAGCATGCATAAAGGTGATGACGTAAATAAACTCGCTGGTAAGCCAGAAATGATTCATCACTTTTTTATTAAGGTTATTTATTGTCTTATCTACATATATTGTTGCATTATACTTTAGTTTAAATATTGGAGTAATTAGAAATCATAATCATTACGATCTATAAGGATCACATATCGAAAATATAGACAAAGAAATCGTATTTTTTCTGATTCTATATCCTTTTGCACCGTGCGCGCCTCGTTATGTACAAAAATCGACGCGCCCACTGAAGGGTTAATAATTTCCACAAATGCTAGTCGAAAATCATTTACCGTCCTCTGTTTCGGTCAGATTTTTATGTTATAACTGACGTTTTTCATGGCAGGCAATTATGATCGGGGTCATATCCACACTTGTCACTGTTAAATGCTTTCAATTTTGGATAGTGAAGAAAGAGTGTTAATTAACACCTGCAAAAGTCTTTTGTGTATCGACTGAGGTCTTCTCAAAGACTCCTTACGCTCGGTTGTTGGCGAAGCACAACAGTACATTTGCATTTAAGAAGGCTCCCTATGCTTCAACATGTGAACTGCAGTCGTTACACATCTACAATTAACCTGCGAAGGACCTTTATGCTGCAGTTAGTTATTTATTTCATCTGATCTTCTTTTTATATAACTCCTGAATTTAGTTTGGAAATGGCAATCTTTACATTTGAACTTGCGAAGGATATTTATGTTTCAGTTGGTGCTTTTTGATGTAAAACTTGTATTTAGTTTCGTAATCGCAGTCCTTACACCTGTACATTTGAACTTGAGAAGGATCTTTATGTTTCAGTTTGTGATTTTTGATATTACCTTTGTACTTAGTTACGAAATCGCAGTCGTTACACCTGTACATTTGAGCCTGTGAAGGATCTTTATGTTTCAGTTGGTGGTTTTTGATAACATTCTTGTATTTACTTTCGTAATTGCAGTCCTTACACCTGTACATTTGAACTTGAGAAAGATCTTTATGTTTCAGTTTGTGATTTTTGATACTACCTTTGTATTTAGTTTCGAAATCGCAGTCGTTACACTTGTATGATTGGACCTGTGAAGCACCTTTATGCTTCTGTTGGTGTCGTTTGATGTAACTTCTGTATATAGTTTCGTAATCGCAGTCGTTACATCTGTACATTTGAACCTGTGATGGATCTGTATGCTTCAGTTGGTGCAGTTTAATGACATTATTGTATTTAGTTTCGAAATCGCAGTCGTTACACCTGTACATGTGAACCTGGCAAGTATTTTTATGTTTCAGTTGGTGCCTTTTAATACTATGCCTGTATTTACTTTTGTAATCGCACTTGTTACACCTGTACATTTGAACCTCTGAAGAATTCTTATGAGTCTGATGGTGTCGTTTGAAATTCGCCCTGTATTTAGTTTCATAATTGCAATCGTTACACCTGTACATTTGAACCTGTGAAGGATCTTTATGTTTCAGTTGGTGCTTTGTGATATTACCCTTGTACTTACTTTCGTAATTGCAGTTCTTACACCTGTACATTTCAACCTGCAAGGGGTTTTTATGTTGCAGTTGATGCTGTTTGAAATTATTCCCTATTTTAGTTTCGTAATTGCAGTCGTTACACCTATGTACTTGAACCTGCAAAAGCTCTTTATGTTTCAATTCGTGCCTTTTGATATGATACTTGTATTTAGTTTTGTAATCGCAGACGCGACACCTATACATTGGAACCTGCGAGCCCTCTTTATGTTGCAATTGATGCCGTTTGATATGACTCTTGTATTTAGTTTTGTAGCTGCAGTCGTTACATTTGTACATTTGAACCAGTGAAGGATCTTTATGTTTCAGTAGGTGCGTTTTGACAGCATTCTTGTATTTACTTTCGTAATCACAGTCGCTACACTTGTACAATTTCACCTTCGAAGAATCTTTATGTTTCAGTTGATGCTGTTCCATATTACCCTTTAATTTAGTTTCGTGACTGCAGTCGTTACACCTGTACATTTGAACCAGTGAAGGATCTTTATGTTTCAGTTGGTGCTTTTTGAAAGCATTCTTGTATTTACTTTCGTAATTACAGTCGCCGCACTTGTACATTTGAACCTGTGGAGAATCTTTATGTTTCAGTGGATGCTGTTCATTAACATTCTTGTAATTAGTTTCATAATTGCAGTCGTTACACCTGTATGTTTGAACTTGCCAACAATCTATATGCCTTAACTGGTGTCTTTGAAGTAATCTCTCATTTTCAGTTACATATTCGCATCTTTCACACTTGTATTCTTCCAAATCGTCTTCGTGTCTCACACAGTGTGTCGCAAAACGGATCTTACTTCTAGTTTCATAAATGCGTTTATCACATTTGTACAATACGTCGTGCTCCTGTTTGGTTTTCGTTTCTGATCTATTCTCATGTTTACATCCATCGTCTACTGCATCTTTACAGTCACCCTCCTTGAAACGTACAACATCAGAGCTCTGCAGTGGCGTATCGCTGAAAAAATTGCAATTACACGGTATTTTTGAAAATCAGGTTTTAATTTTAAGGGGTTATAGGTAACACATGCCGCAATATTGTGTTTCACAAAAAGTTACTCTAATAAAGGGACAAATTTACATTGGAAGTTAATGAAATGTATGATGAAATTAGACTTGATTGAATTACATGTTATTAAAAACATTAAAAAAAAAACATTCGATTACCTATAACTTTATCGATTCCACAAGGCATTATTTAATTTTTATAATAGTGAAATAATTTTTGTGCTGTTCAAATAGTGCAATAAAAAAGTATAAGTTGGAGCAAGACCAGGAATTTCGTTTTTGACATTTTATTGATAAGAAATTCAGATATTCATTCAGAGATAATACAGAAAATGTAAGCAGTTTTTTTCAAAGCATTCTCCACAAGATGTTCTTATCGTTTTCTGATAAAAAAAAATAATTCGATGCAGGAAACTCGATTCAAAGAAAGGTATTAGATTGCGTATTTATGGCTTGAGATTGATATTAACGACATAATTCTTTTGGAAAAAAAAATTCTTTTCGAACATTGCTAAGCAATTACTGTCAAATAAAATTGTAAAAAGTTGTATGCCCCCCGACCAGTTGCTGTAATGCCTTCCTCAAATCTCGAATACTTACTAACTTCCTAGCTCAACAGTTTTTTTTTTTTATAAACTAATACAATTATTATTTCTCTACATTCAAAAAAATTTTTTTTGCGATTGTGTAGCATTGCGAATATTGAATTTAAACATATTTTTCTATTTTTTCAATATCTAATATTTTTCGATGAAAAAAAAAAAATTGGATTTTTGCAAAGAAGATTTTCAATATAAAAAAATTAATAAAAGATGCAAAATTGATCCTCTAATTTTTATCAAAAGTGACAATTTCAATCATTCGGATCGCAATGAAATATCCCAAAATATCCTTAGTCTATTCATCATTTGTAAAGTTAAATCAAGTTTAGGGAAAATCCAACGCAATTTTTTACCTTTTTGTGAATTGAGTTTCTGGCGTTAAATATAATTTTTTTGTCGAAAAACGATAAGAAGGTCTTATAAGGGATACTTTGAGCTTTCCAAAATATTACTGTATGATCAAATTGAAGAGGAAGAATCAAACTAGAAAAAAACACCTTATTATATACAATACATATATTCCCTTTATTTACTAATGGTCTCCATTAACAAATCGGTATACGTTTAGATTAATATTGGAGAAATCTCTTAATGATAGCAATCATCCGATAAATACAAAGCAGTGTTTAAAAGAAAGTTCTTTGTAATTCGATAATTAACATTATGTATGTGATGAAGTACAGAGCAAGCATATTTGAACGTAGCTAAGAAAATTTTTAATAGTGTTAACAAATCTTGCAGCACGATTACTTGCTAAATTAATATTTCTTGGCAAAGTTTTTGTGACCGTTACAACTTTGCTGCATATGTCTTGCAAACCTGCCATAATAATTGATATCAATATATACGATCATCTGTATTTAGACATCTTTGTCAAATGTTGGGAACGTTAACATAGATAGCGCCAGTAGCGCTACGTTTCTATTGGATCAAAAGCGTTCGCTATCTTGCTTGTTTACGTGCGTTAAATTTAATTTAGTTTGAGTGTTCATTTATATTTGTGGCGTAATGTTTATAGTATTTTGTATATAGTGTTTTTGGTGTAGTTCAGGTTTTTGTTTTGTTTCTGTAGATTTTTAAGTTAGTGCATCTTACATTTGGGGTTTACAAATTTACAAGGACTTGTAAATTTTGAAGTTCCGATATCTAAAGAAAGTAAGAAATGAACAAATATTTTTTAGCAAACTGAAAAGGCTACATTTGGCAATTTATTTTCAGATGCCACATATATTAACGGTGCCTTGTTTGTGGATATTCAATCAACAGGGTCGAGAAAATGCATCGGTTTCCTTTGTTCCCAATACGACTATAAACTGGTTAAAACATGCTGTGCCAAGTCTTTTCCGGACTATTTTCCAGAAAATCAAAATTCTGTACATACAGACGTAGTGTCAGATGTAACAGGTAAAAGTATTTCTTTAAAAAATAAAAAATTAAAAAAATAATATTGTTTTCATGCAGATATATATTGGCCCAAAGTCCACCTCCATCAAGCCGATCTGTATTTAGGGGTATAAACAGGGCCGTCAAAACTGGATGCAATCCCACTTAAGATGCGATTAATAGAATGTTTGCTGTAATAGATGAGCTAGTGATTTGAGGACCTTGTCCAAATAAGTGATTCCACAGTGGTTCGGAACTTATTCAGTGAAATGTCAAGAACAGCTGTGGATTTTTTAATTGCACAATTTGCGTTGTGGGAAAAGAAGTCCCAAGGGTCGAAGATGAACAACAAAAGAGAAAGTGACCTTGAAAATTTCCACCCATATTATCCATTGTCTTTTTTTATACATTTTCTTTCATATTTATCAATAAAGGATGTAATTTGACTTGGTTCTTTTATTTTTCTTTTAAATATATTTGAAAAATATAAAAAGTATTTTTAAATTTTTATTTTTAAATCAGTTCACAGCAGTTCACACAAACTCCAAATTTAACAAGAATTAATTGAAATAAAATTCATTTGTCACGTTTTTTCTTATAATTAATTTACTTATTAAATAAGAAATTTTAGATTAAATTGCAACGAAGTTCTACTCCTTTTAATTACGTAATTTTACTGTATTCGTGTGTAAGATTGCAAGTTTGCTAGAATATTTCATATTAATACTTGTAATCGACTGATAAATACAAAGCAGTATTTAAAGGAAATTTCCCAAAGATTCGATAATTAACTTTGTTACAAAGTACGGCAGGCCCGGTCTGGCTCTTTCAGGGACCGTCGGGGAAAATCGAAATCGGGGCCTATTTGGTTTTGTCTGTTATTAGGGTGCATATCGACTCTCCCAAGGAAAACTGTCGTATCTCAAATTTGGTTATACTGAGATAATTGCATTTGGATAGTTGAGAAAATAATAATGTTCGTTATTTTTTTTATTACAAGAGCTAAATCGTTCTTCTTTAACAAAGTAATTATTGTTTAGGTCTTAATAAATTATTGATGATCTAAATAAAATAGTTTAGGATAAGAAAAAAATGGATATTTGAATGAGTTACTACAGTTTTTGTCGACAAAATTTTTATTGAGAAACAACTTGCTACATAAGGCACAGAAAAATTAAACATTTTCTGTTTTTAGATAAAAAAAATAATTGTTAATAATCAATTTATTACAATTCAAAGTCAGAGTTATGTTCTTGGTTAATATTACTTTCTTCCTGGTGGTCAGTTTTACAAGCAGGCGGAAGGGAGTTGTAAAAATTATTACACAGACCCAAATGACCGTTTAATTTTTTTGCCATCAATTGGCAGCAAATCTTGATAGTCTTGGAAATTGATATTCTTCGTGTTTGCTTGTGTTTTTTGTTTGTAAGTCTAGTTCTTTATGATTTTCACCAAAATTATACACAAAAAATATTTTATTGGGAGACTTATTTGGATCGCAGTGGATTTCTCTGATTTTGCTGATTTTTACAGCCTCTCCAGTAATATCTTTTTTCTAGTTTTGTTTCTTTACCATTGGTTTAAAAGTTACAAAATCTTCTGGAGACATTTCTTTTACTTTGTACTGTGGGGCATTAACTTTGGCCATTTTTATTAGACTAATCCACTGATCAGGAGTGTATATACCAGAGTGACGTATTTTTGCAACTTCAGTCACAGCATGCATGCTGTCACTTTCATTCTGCGTGTGGCCAATTTGAAGAAAACGGTGTGTTATTTCCAAATCCAAAGTCATTGATGCATAAGCAAACATCGCAAAAACAAAACGATTACGGTTTTGACCACCGCAATTGTCGGAATAAAGAATAACCTTTCCTATGCCATTTTCTTTGGACACTTTTTAAAAAGATCCATAAACAACTTCCAATTTCATCCGGTTCTCTCTTCGATATTTGCCCATGCCATACATAGCAATAGCCTTGATTGCTGCCTAAATCATAAATTGTAAAGTTGTATGTTGCGATTTTACTTTTATAATAAAAATCTGACTTGGGTGTTACTAACACCTTCTACAAATCAAAGCGTGCTGTGGAAAAAGTTTTATGGGTTCCATGTTTTTTATTATGCGGTCTAGTGTTAAGTTTTCCTCTTCTGTCCCATTCTACAGTACCACCTTCACCAATTTTTTGCAAAGCGATACTTACAACTGTTTCAGAAATCGCAAGCGTATTTAAGAACATCATTTTGCAAATTTGTTTCTCATTGTTGTCGATGACAAACTTATTCCTTCTGGAATATTTATTATGTACAGTAACCTGCTTTTTTCTCGTTGTATCACGCACCTTACAAGAAAATCCCACTGCCGAGTATGATCTGCGAGGTTCCAAAATTCGTCAATAGTGACTTTTCTAGCTTCTTCATTTATTTATTTGTTGCATTTATACCTGTAAGTTTCTTTACAAGGTGATTTCATTACCTTTGCAAAAATAAGTTTGTCTTTACAATTTTTATGTTGAAGACCTCTATTAAGTTCTATCTCGGCTTTGTTATCTATCCACTCATTTTCATTTCCGACACGTTTTCTCCCTACTTTGTTTTTTTGTCTCCCTTTGCGTTTTCTTTTAGGTAATACCACAGGTAATGGTAAATTTTGCATCCCATTATCAGATTCATCCAAATTTTCATTTGCAGATTCTGTTTCTGATGGAACGTAATTTGGATCCTCATCAGAATAATCGGAAGAAAATAAATTCATATTAGTTTCATCCTCATAGTAATTATTTTGAAATTCATTTTCGTTGTCTGCAAAAAAATTAAAATTTCATCCAAATTTTAATTATAAATTAATTCTCTCACTGCAACGCGCAAACGCGGCAGACATGACAGAAGCTATATTTACATGCTGCCATCTGGATCGATATTGCAAGGCAAACTCTCCTACCTATTTGCAGCTCAAATTAAAGCTTATTAGTTATTTCAAGCACCATCTTTAAAATATTAAAAATATACTTTTAATATACTTACCCTTGCAGTACTTATTCTGTTTTTAAAGAATTGTTTGAACAGAAAAAAAACTCATTGCGATAGGTGACTTTGAATTGTCATTTCTCCGGCTCCAGTACAACCTACGAATATTTATTTGCAGTTCAAATTAAAGCTCATTTCAAACGCCATGCCGCTCTCTGTAGGAATATAAGTATACTTACCACTGCAGTACTCATGCCGTTTTCTCAGATTTTATTTACGCTGAAGCTACATCCAAAGTATTATTGGTTTTAAAATTGGTTTGGCTATGTCCAAACTATTATTGGTTTTAAAATTATATAAAATTATATTAAAATTGTATTAGATATCCAATATATAGAATATATGTAAACACTTTACATCCGGCCCATGAAATGGTTGTCTAAATGCAACGTGATTACTACATGTGACTCTGCACAATGCTGCCAACTCTTCAGTATGAAAATGGCGCACACAATTCAAATCTTGCGTTACTTTCGTGGCACCATTTAGAAACTCCACCCAATGTAATGACACCAACTTTAATTCAAATATCTCTACTATTTCGAAAATGGTTAAGAATTCGAAACACATTACAACAAAGACCAAATACATACAAATTAAAATTGGGACTCCCCGTATAGTTGATCACCCAATCCACAGATGTGATAATGAAGTCTAGAGCTTTCCATTATAAAAATCATGTATATTTATTTTACATTAGACCTTTCAATTAATATGTTCTACATAGCTGTTTAAAATTAATGCACATGTTTAACATATAACTTGTCGAAGTTGTGAACCGTTTACCGACACATTGTAAGAAACAGGAAAAGTATCGGTGTCACGTCTACACTTGTCACTCTTAAAGCCCTCCATTTTTGCCAATATTTTGCACAATGAATGAAGGGTAATAATTCGCAACTGCAAACCATTTTTTATTAATCATTTGAGGTCTCCTCAAAGACTCCTTATGCTGGGTTGTTAGCAAAGCACAACGGTACACTTCGGTATGCTTCAACATCTGACGTCCGATAGCCCTCCTGTATTTAGTTTCATAATTGCAGCCATTACACCTGTACATTTGAACCTGTGAAATGATGTTTCCGTTGGTGTTTTTTCATATAGCGTCTGTATTTAGTTTCGTAATTGCAGTCATTACACCTGTACATTTGAACCTGCGATGGGTCTTTATGTTGCAGTTGATGCCATTTGATATAACTCTTGTATTTAGTTTCGAAATTGCAGTCGTTACACCTGTACATTTGAACCTGTGAAGGATCTTTATGTTTCAGTTGGTGCCTTTTCATATCATTCTTGTATTTACTTTCATAATCACAGTCGTTACACTTGTACTTTCCAGCATGTAAAGGCTCTTTATGTTTCAGTTGGTGTCTTTTGATAGCACTCCTACAATTATTTTCGTAATTGCAGTCGTTACACTTGTATATTTGAACCTGCAAACCCTTTTTATGTTGCAGTTGATGCTTTTTGATATATCTGCTGTATCTACTTTCGTAATTGCAGTCGTTACACTTGTACATTTGAACCTCTGAAGGATCTTTATGTTTCAGTTGGAGCCTTTTCATAGCATTCTTGTATTTACTTTTGTAATCACAGTCGTTACAATTGTACATTTGAACCTGTGAAGGCTCTTTATGTTTCAGTTGGTGATTTTTTATGTTATTCTTGTATTTAGTTTCAAAATTACATTCATTACACTCGTACATTTGAACCTGCAAGGACTCTTTATGTCTCAGTTGATGCCTTTTGATATTACCCTTTACTTCAGATTCGTAATTGCAGTCGTTACACCTGTATATTTGAACCTGCGAGGGCTCTTTATGTTGCAGTTGATGCTGTTTGAAGTTACCCTTTAATTTAGTTTCGTAATTACAGTCATTACACCAGTACATATGAACCTGCCAAGGCTCTTTATGTTTCAGTTGGTGATTTTTGATATTACCTTTGTATTTAGTTTCGTAATCGCAATTGTTACACCTGTACATTTGAACCAGTGAAGGATCTTTATGTTTCAGTTGGTGCATTTTGATAACGTGCTTGTATTTACTTTTGTAGTCACAGTCTTTACACCTGTACATTTGAACCTGTGAAGGATCTTTGTGCCTCAACAGGTGCCTCTGAAGTAATTTCTCATTTTCAGTTTCGTACTCACAGGATTCACACTTATACGCTTCTAAATTGTTCTTGTGTCTCGCACAGTGTATCGTAAAACGGATCTCACTTCTAGTTTCGTAAATACATTCATCACATTTGTACAATACTTTGCGCGCCTGCTTGGCTTTCACTTCTGACGCATTCTCATGTTTACATCCATCCTCATCTTCATCTTTACAGTCACTCTCCTCGAATGGTACAATAGTGGAGCTCTCCAGTGGCGTGCCGCTGAAAAATTTGTATACAGGGTATTTTTGAAATTCAGGTTTTAAGAGGTTACAAATGACACATGCCGAAATATCGCATTTCACAAAAAAATTACTCCAATAAAGGGGAATGCTTATATTTAAAGTTAATGAGATGTGATTAATAATTATACATTTGTACCACCGTACGGAAACAGCTCGGTGCTTGCTATCATTCCTTTCGACGTCACTCTTAGACTTGAATGAATTATGTATCATTAAAAAGGATATAACTTCCAAGGATTTTCACAAAGATTCAATTACAAACTTTTTATTATAGTGAAACTAGCAACCCGCCCCGGCTTCGCACGGGCAAATATAAAATAGCCTATGTTACTCCGAGGAGATGTAGCTTTTGGTAAAATTGGTCGAGTAGTTTTTCGGTTAAATCGTAACAAACAAAAAGTCAATCATCTTTCATCTAATGCGACCCTAATATTAATTTTAAAATAATTCACGATATATCTATATACCTAAAGACAACAAACGAACTCAAAACTAAAAGCGCAAAACCTTTAAATTTAAAACAATATAGGTAACTACCAACAATGTGAAAACAAAACGAATTAAATTAAAGTACCTATGTTCAGGACTATCAATTTTAATTAATAAGTAAGTAGTTAGGTATCTAACTACCTAAAGAAAACAAACACGAAACAAAAATGCGACTATGAAGTTTTAAATGATTCACAATAAGAAAAAAACAAACAAATTATTAAAACTCAATGAAATAAAAGTATGTTTGCAAGTATCTATGTATGTTCCGACTACCTAAAGACAACAAATACAAAACAAAAATGTGACCTTAAAATATCGAACGCAATTATAACTTTCCAACAACACCCAGAAAGAAAACACAGTCGTCAGTCGTCACCTCCATTCGCTCCAAGTCAGTTTATTAAAGGATCACGCGCGCGTTATCGTTCGGCTTATTAGCTAAACAGTAGGCAAGACGGTGCGGGGGGAGGGTCGGCGATCGCATCAAGCGAAGCGAGGCGCTTGAATTTTATTCTCGCGTCCGTAATTTTTTTGCGATTACTCCTAAGATATTCATTTAAATTATATGGTGTAAAAGAGTAAAATAATGTGCATGAAATGCTTAAAGCCTCTAACTTATTTAAAATGATAAGGATTAATACCGTATTTGTGTAAATAGCTTTTACATTACCGCTTTATAATTGCCAATTTTTTAAAGTATTAAAATGGATATAGGTAGTATGTTATCTTTAACATATAGACATATGCCATCGCGGACTTTTCTGTAGGCATATATAAGATACACAATTCCACCATACATTGATACACTACATAAACTTTCGGACCCCCCCGGCTCGGACGCGAGGCGCGGGGTCACGGGGCGCCCGCGCGGCCCGGTCGAATCACGGCGACACGAAATTAATTTCGTTGCGCATTATTTTGATTTTGCTATATCTCCTAAGGTATTCATTTAATTTGCATGGTGTAAAGGGAAAAAATAATCTTCATGAAATGCTCAAGCCAACTAACGTATTTAAAATGATAAGGATTAATACCGTATTTGTGTAAATAGCTTTCCAATTACCGCTTTATAATTGCCCATTTTTTAAAGTATTAAAATGGATATAGTATGTTATCCTTAAGAGATAGACATATGCCATCACGGACTTCTCTGTAGACCTATATAAGATACACAATTCCACCATACATTATTTTGTTATATCTCAAAGGGTTTAGGCAGCGTTTTCGTTGAAAGATCCCAGACGGCTTATTTTTTTTCCGACACCCCCAACAAATATCGTTAATGTATACAAAAACTTAACAAATTATATACTAAAAAGAACCACTGCATGAAAATCGGTGCAGTAGTTTTTGAGTTTATCGCGAACAGACAGACGGACGCGGTCGAGGAATTTGTTTTATAATATGTAGTGATAATTTTCATGTAGTTCAAATAGTGTAATAACAATGTATATATAAGACTAGGAATTTCGGTTTTGGACATTTTATTAATAAGAAATTCAGATCAACCAGTTGTGATAACTCGGCAAGGTAAGTCTGTAGCCGGCAGCATTTGCTACAGCATAGCAATGGGAAGAACCATTGTACTTTTTAAACCTATTAATACCTTCAGGATTTTGAATTGTCATTCCCCTCACCCCTTACGACAAAAGGCACACACAACAAAATTCTAATATTAAGTAACATCACAATAAGAATACTCGTCAATTTAACCAAAAACTAAAATCTAATGATTATTATCCTTCTTCTCTTCACAATGTTAACAATAGTTGAATCAACGATAGTATAGTCTTTCCGAAGTCAGTTGAATCTGTAAAAAAACGCCTGGCAATAAAATTTAATGACTTTCACAGGCGTCCCTAAAAAAGTTTTCTGCTAAAGGTAAGAAAATATAATAATTTGTATATAATGTGCAGAAAATTTCTATTATATGTTCATTTGTCCAACAACATATTTTAATTATTTATGTCCTCAAACAATTTTATTGTATTGATGATAAATTTCGTTTTGTTCCCTTTCAAAAGGTCTCCAATATGCCATGTTGTAATAATATTAGTAAACAAAATATCCCTCTTATTTCTTCCTTTCGCAATTGTAATATGAATGATTAATAGAATGGTGCCTACAATAAATACAAATTATCTGAATCACACCAAACTCCGCATTGCTGCACACACTGCCAGGCGACTTGTCGACAACTGAAATTTATGACTTCAACTGGGCGTATACATTTCTACCACCTGCACGTTTAGTTTGACCAGACCTGTTTATGGGTATGGCTAAATAAATATGGGAAAAAGTTTTTTAAATATTCAATGCCAAGTTGCTGCGTAGCGACCGAGCCTGGTACATACTGTCAAGTTCTTGGTTCTTCAACTGAAATCGGAAAGACTATACTAATAACATAATTTTAATTTTAATGATAAATCGATTCAGATCTTTAATAATGAATTAAATTATTGAAAAAAGCATTTTTCAAAGTTAAAATGAGAAAACATATATTATATTGTGTAAGAAAGAAATAGCTGCTGTTTCCTTTATCCCTTTTTTTAACCGACTATCACACCAGACACCAATTCCCAAGAAAATAAATATATTTTAATATTAAACAAATGGTTCAAGAAGATTTCCACGTTTTACACGGGTCTCAATATATATTTTTTTGACAATCCCACCTGTCAGCTCTTTTAGTTTGATTCATCCTCTTTGATTTGCTCTATTTAAGACCTTCATATGTTATTTGTCGCTGAGTTATGGTCCTTCAAAGCAAAAATTACTTTCTTGGCTTTGATAACACAGCCACACACAAAAAAAAGTTGTCTGTACTTTTCATGCGACATATGTTATCCATAGTAGTTTTCACCTCCTGATCACGAATCCGGTGTCAGAATTGAAGTATTCGCATCACAGGAATTTCCTAACCTCAAAATAGCAAAGAAACATGAAATAGTGCTAGGAAGAATACTAAATAAAAATTTTCTAAATTCAAATGTTCATTTATATGATCAAGACCCCGTCGAACGTGAATTCACGGTCAGAATTGATGGTTCATTTTCTAACCTCAAAAAACGGGTCAGACATCACAAAATCCCCCATATACCAAATTTGGCGCGAATGTTATTTTCTGAAAATTTAGTCGGCCATTTTGGATCCGCGATCTTGAATTTTGCAAAATTCACCCCGGATCCGTGATCAGCGACCCCGAAAACCCCCGTATATCAAATTTGACGCGAATTTGTTACTTTTTGAAAATTCGTGATCATCGACCCGTTTTTTTGAGGTTAGAAATAGAATCATCAGTTCTGATCGCAGATTCATGTTCGGCGGGGTATTAACCATATAAATGAACATTTAAATGAAGAAAGAATTTTTTTGTATTTTTCCTAGGACGTTTTCGTGAATTTGTGCTATTTTTGAAATGTTTTTTGAGGTTAGGAAATTCCTGTGATGTGATAGCTCAATTCTGACACCGGATTCGTGATCAGGAGGCCAAAACTACTATGGATAACATATGTCGCACAAAAAGTACAGACAACTTTTTTTTGTGTGGCTGTGCAATTAATTGCTTGGGCACTAATGATCATAAAGAAAACCCAGGCAGAGTTTTGAAAAGAAAGCGCCGATATGAAAGGGGAAAGGAATTACTTCGTATTGGGAAATGCCGATTAACATTACAATCTCGTCGTGCTCGGAACCAGTCTTTTATAGTCGAAGCAGGCAAACTAATGACCGTGCGATTAAATTAATTGAATTCGTTACAATGAATTATTTTAATTCAATAAGTGATTTTTGAAATATATTTCTACTCTTATTTTTTTGTGTAGGATTAGTTAACAATTCAATTAACATAATAGCGTTTGTTTCTTGAAATATTGGAACATTTTTAACAATTTTTTGTTTTGAAATTATGTCTTTCGTATATATATTTAATCTCTTCATTATTATTTACAGCCCAATTGAAGACTAAATAATACCTTTAAAATAGCGTAAAAATAAATTTTCTGTAAGAATGACTTAATACGAGTGTACAAATCCACCCAAACTGGCATTCTTCATGCAATCTGCTTACATAAGCACTAATTATTTTGTAGCTCAGTGAGATCTATCCTTTTCGTCCCAAGAAAATGCGATTTCTGCCCAAAGTTAAAAAATTTTTATGAATGAATGAAATCTAGTATAGCATTCTTTGTACCAATATCTGATTTAAAGCCATACTGATTGTTTTATAATGATCTTACATTTTCTCCAATAATTTGTTAACTCAACTCTTGACGATTGTTTTAAAATATGTACAATACCGTTTATAACTGACATAAACTAATAATTTATTAGTTTATCATCAGATGGTACCTATTTAATCATGTAAGTCACAAAGTATCAGAACCACGGGCTGCTATTTTTTAAATTAATATTAAAATAGTCTTCTCTTACCTCCTTTCCTCATCTTCCGATTTTATGTCGATACTTTCAGCTTTGATAGACATTTCCATCTCGTTAATATCGAATTCCTTGTCCAGGTTTTCAGTCTTAACGAATACATCAAGCGAACACATATCTATTTGACTTCCTCTGGCTGAACTATCAAGAGTACTTTTAATTTTTTCTTCTACCTCTGAACAATCTTTAAGGAAACTGTTGTGGGTACACAGACAATCGAAACATGGCTTACAAACGACGGGATCTTTGATGATATTTATATTCTACAAAGCAGTTACGTTAAATTACAAACTATGCAAATATTTAATATTGTTCATACCATTTCAGGAGCCAATTTCTCAATAGCTTCAAGTTCCACTTCATGTACGCACCTAAACTCATTTTCTACTGGGTGCATACACAATCGACATATTTTGTGACTGCAAACTAATTCACTTTTCTTTTCCTGCATGTACACTTCCCTCAAATCGAGCTGTAACATTTTTTCGCTATCCACATAAGGAATAATTGTGTTATCGGTATTCAGACATGTTGACTTAAATTCTAACGCGGCATTTAACTTTCTTCTGCAAACGTTACATATAACCTCTTTGCTCTCGTTATCAAATTTCTGAAAAATATGTAACTTTAAATAGAAAGAAAATGAGTATAGCGGGAAATAACAATTTAATACTAAAAGCTGCTTTACACTTAAGACTGCTAGGATCTAATCTAATTAGATTTCACTGACTTACCAATTTCAGCAAAAGAACATCTAAAGTGTCTCTGATAATGTTGTCTACCACTTCAAAACTTTCATCGGTTATATTTTTAAGGCAAAGCCTACACGAAGTTTCCTTAACATCAGCCATTACTTTGCAACTATCTCCTTTTAAATATAAATAGAACACAGATACAAACAATAAAAATATAAAGCCTTCACTTCTAACAACCTATTCATTCTAAACTTCTTGACATCTTACGGCACGGCAGCATAGTTAGGTTAGGAACGACTTCAGCGACACAGCGACTACGTCGAGCACCAAACTCCAACGCTGCCAAGTTATTGTACGTCGACCACTTAGGATTTTTAGGTTATGTTTACCATTTGACTATTTTGAATTTTGAAGTGAGCTGTTTTACTAAACATTTGACACATTAACTAAAAACGTTTCTGTTTCATTACAGAAATGTAGCACTTGAAAACTTATTTAGTGAAACATAGCCGAAACGTTCCAATTGAAGAGAGTTTGAAACATTATTCGAAACGTTCCCTTTCGATCTCGGAAACATAACAGACCAACAACCTTTTGCTTTTTTAGTTCATTTGCCTTTGTTATACAAACAGGCATAAACATAAAAAAAAATTGTGGTAGCGTATTTATAACACAAGTCTAGAAAAAATGTATGTTCGTGACTTGCGTAGACTGCGCGTAACAGCCCGAGTTTGTTTCCCGTGTGTCGTTTTTAATTCGTATTATGTTAGGTTAGGTATTATAGACAAGAGGGCAAGGGACAAGCACTAAAGAAAATGGAACATGGAAATATGTTTCGATATAATTTGAGGAGCAATTACTTAGTGAGAACTATTTGAAATATGGATGAATCAAGTAAAATAGACGTCATTTATTTTATATTCTGTAGAAATGTTTATATTTGTTTATGTGTATAGGCATGCTTAAATAAAAGAGTTTAGGTATACTTACAGATATTTATTTTGTCAAGATATCATTTTGTATCTTTATTTCTGCTGTATAATTTATTATTATTAAAATGATAGATGTAATATTGACCATGCGTAGAAGAAATTGTAACATTATATTATTTTTCAGTAATGTTATTTGTTTTTCATATACCTACCATTTCAAGATTCATAATCATAACTTTTTCTAATTATCAGTTCGTCATTGTTACCACATTCACGATGGTCTCAACATTAGAAAATTTCTATTTCAGAAGCGTATTTGAACAATATAAAATGATGTGTAGCTTTTTTAAAATGCTTCTGATATTATTTTGTGACATTTTTATTTGTACGATGAATGGCAAAATTCGTAATCCATCTCAAAAAGAAAGAAATTCTTGGTAAAAGTTGCCGCATCCCCAAACTAGAAGAGCATATTTATTTTTTTTAATATAGAATGTAACAACTTTTTTTAGTTAATTTTTTTGTCTGGAGTTCGAATTAAGTCATTCACAATACAAATAAAAATATCGCAAAAGAGTATTAGAAATATTTAAAAAATTACTCACACTATACTATTTCAAAAACGCTTTTGAAATGAAAATGATCCAAAGTTGAAAGCATTATGAGAACAATATGGTAATAAAATTATTATGTTGCTCAAACATTTCTGAAAATATACTGAAACGCAAAACAAAAATATCGAGTGCATAAATGGAACAACAAAAGAATGTTACTGAAAACAATTTTTTGAAACGTTTCATTGGAAACGTATTTTAGGAAGGACATCTTGGGTTTCTAGAACGTTACCAGAAAGTTGCATGGAGTTTTTATGAGACGTTTCGAGATAAATGGAAACGTTTCTGAAACATGTCAGAAATTGAAAAAAGTTTAGTGGGAAATTTTAAATTAATATTATAATCTCATGGATTACCTTAGAATTTGAAACAATATTAAATAATGTCTACATCGGCAAAACGACCAGTAAATTTTAAATATAATCCCTTGTGAATTATTTATTGCATTCGTGATGTGGCGAATTCCTTCTCTGCGCTCATTTTTTTGTTGCGCTGCAGTGCGGTGGACAGCATGTTCAATGACACCTCTAAAATTTCATTTGTGTCATTCTGAAGCAATTATAGGTATCCTTGCTCATTCAACGGTCCGTTTGTTTCAAACAGATATAATTCCTTTAGAAAATTACACCTGCATATTAATTTTAAATCTGCGCTGTGCATCCATTACAGTATCCGTACACAATGATTGCCATGAATAAACAACTAAGCAATAATAGACTTATCTGCTATCAGGAACCGTCATTTAATTCTTAACCCATTAACGCCGATAAAAAAAAATTAAAAAAATTATGCAAATTTTTAATACAAATAAGCAGTAAACATCTTTATTTAACATATTTAGTCAACTTAAAATATTTTTCCTCTAAATTAACCGAAAAAAAGTATTCCCATATGGGACCTTTAGGCGCAACGTCACTAGAAATGAGCAACAATGAAAAAAGTAAAAAGCAACTTGTTCTTTTAATGAAACCTTAAAATAATGAGTACATGTTATTACTGAGTATGAAACTTTCGAAAGGAGTCAACGTATAAGCCGATATTACATTTGCAGCACATTGTTCTTCCTCGGCTGCTACAGTTTTCACCACCAAATCTTTTAGCTTCAGGAATAGTGGTTACATAATGATGCATGCCATCATACCTTATATCGTTACTGACTTGCTGCTACCCGAGGTATTCGTCCTGCAGCGCGAGCTGGTACTTTATATCTCGTTAGATGTCTGAAAATAAATTTAAAAAAAACGTCAAAATATGATTCCTCTACAAATTGTTGGTTTTACTCTACCTGCAATATATTTCTCCTAAAGTCAAGTTGACAAACGCTTTCTGAAGGATAATTCCACTAAAAGAAGATTTACAGCTAGAGATATTAGTTCAACCGAGCTACTGCTTAACGGGCCCATATGGGAACATCAATGTTTACAACAATATTATACATAAACAAATAATCAATTAAATTATTCTCGAATAGGATTATGTTTTTAGATATAATAGTATAATAAAACACTAAAAGCAACTAGTATAGAATAAAATATCTAATAATATATACTTACACGAAGTTGATGTCCATGTTTTCAACAAACTCGTACAAACAAGTTTTTCACTCGACACAAAAAAATGTCAAATGTAAACAAAGCGCCGCATGAACTCTCCTAAGGGCGTCATAAATCATACTGAAGATGTGAAAATAAGCAAATTGACGAAAGCTAGCAAAAAATCACTCTCAAACCCCACTTTTTATCTTGACGTTTATTGGCTCCATATGGTACCTTTAGGTGCTAATGGGTTAAGATTTGATTTTATATTTTATTCTTAAGATTGATAATTTGATTTGTATAAGTTAGTGTTTGTAATAATGTAACAACCAACTTTAATTCAAATATCTCTATTTCGAAAATGGTTGGGATTTCGAAACATGTTACAACTAACAAAGTACAAATACATAAAAATTAAAATTGAGACGCCCTGTATAGTTGATCTCCCAACGCACAAATGTGATAATGAAATCAACAGCTTTCTATTATAAAAAACATGTATATTTATTTTACAATAAACCCTTCAATTAATTACACGTTATACACAGTTGACAATATCGCTTTTTAAAATTTATGCACAGGTTTAACATATCCACTTGTCGAAGTTGTGAACCGTTTGTCAATCAGCAGACTGTCACTTGTAAAAAACAGGAAAAAGTATCGGGGGCATATCCATACTTGTCGCACTTAAGTGTCTCCATTTCTGCCAATATTTTGCCCAACAAACGATGGGTACTAATTCACAACTGGAAACCATTTTTTATGCATCACTTGAGGTCTTGCCAAAGACTCCTTATGCTCGGTTGTTAGCAAAGCATACTGGTACATTTGCATTTATGAAGACTCCTTATGCTTCAACATGTGACATGTCATATTATTCTTGTATTTTGTTTCATAATCGCATTCTTTACACTTGTATATTTGCACCTGTGAGGTCTTTTGATGTTGCAGTTGATGCTGTTTGATATAACTCTTGTATTTAGTTTCATAATCGCAGACGTTACACTTGTACATCTGAACCAGTGAAGGATCTTTATGTTTCAGTTGGTGCCTTTTCATAGCATTCCTATATTTACTTTCGTAATCACAGTGGTTACACCTGTACATTTGAATCTGTGAAGGATCTTTATGTTTCAGTTGGTGCTCTTTGATATAATTCTTGTATTTAGTTTCGTAATTGCAGTCGTTACACCTGTACATTTGAACCTGCGAGGGCTCTTTATGCTTCAGTTGGTGCCGTTTGATATTTCTCTTGTGTTTATTTTCATACGTGCAGCTGTTACATTTGTACATTTTAACCTGTGAGGGATCTTTATGTTTCAGTTGGTGATTTTTGATATTACCCTTCAATTTAGTTTCATAATTGCAATCATTACACCTGTACATTGGAACCAGTGATGGATCTTTATGTTTCAGTTGGTGATTTTTGATATTACCCTTTAATTTAGTTTCGTAATTGCAATCGTCACACCTGTACTTTTGAACCTGCGAAGGATCCTTATGCTTCAGTTGGTGCCATTTGATAGCATGCTTGTATTTACTTTCGTAATCACAGTCGTTACATCTGTACATTTGAACCTGTGAAGGATCTTTATGTTTCAGTTTGTGATTTTTGATATTACCTTTGTATTTAGTTTCGAAATCGCAGTCTTTACACTTGTACATTTGAATCTGCAAAGGATCTTTATGTCTCAACAGGTGCCTCTGAAGTAATTTCTCATTTTCAGTTTCGTATTCACAAGACTCACATTTATACAACACTTTGCGCTCCTGCTTGGTTTTCACTTCTGATACATTCTCATGTTTACATAAATCCTCTTCTTCATCTTTACAGTCACTCTCCTCGAATGGTACAATATTGTAGCTCTGAAGTGGCGGGTCACTGAAAAAATTGCAAATACAAGGTATTATTGAAAATCGGTTTTAATTTTAAGAGGTTACACATGTCGAAATATTACGTTTCACAAAAAATTATTTTAATAAAGGGGCATGTTTACATTTGAAGTTAATGATTAAGTCAACCATTTTCATAGAGAAGAACGTGGATATATCGAAATACCCCAAGCTGACAGCATTTTTGAAACGTAAGAATGATGGCTATATACCGAGGGGCGATCCGCTAAGGAAAAAACGTACGAAGATTACAAAATTTCTGAAATCTCTTGTAATGTATCTGCAGATTTCAATATCGATTAAAAAAAAATTACAAATTTCATATAAATAATCAAGATTACAATATCTTTCAACCGATTACAAAACATTTCAGGAGATTTCAGAGTTATTTTAGTAGATTTCAATGATTATTTAAGATTTCAATAGGATTATTCGAAATTAAAAGAAGATTTCAAAATTTCTTAATAATATTTCAAGGAATACGGGAAGATTACAATAAGTTTTGAATGTCCATTTGAACAAAAATAATTGAATTAACTTCAACTGTCATTCATTTCATTCATTAACAGTAGTGCTTTGATTAAGAATTTCCAGTATCATTTTTACGCAAAAATTGTAACATTCTGATTAAGTTTTTGTTCGAATGAACGTTAAAAACTTTTTGTCATGACAAAAATGATAACGCCATTTTGAAAGTAGGTAAGTATATATTTTTATTGAAAGATAAAAATATAATAATCCAATAAACTAATAAAAATAAAAAAATAGAAGTAACATAAAATAAACATTTTCCCAAAAAATAAATAATAAGAAATATTTTAAGCTTTTATTAACACTTGTATTTAATACTTTACCTGTATACAGTGTATTTAAAAAAGACGCGGCAATATTTAAGGGGGCGATTGCCCAGATCATTTTATAAAAAAAAGTTCCTATAAACATACGTCCGCAAACGCTTCGTTACCGATCTACAGAATGTTGAAATTTCATTAAAAAAACAGTAAAAATTAAATTTCTCCAAAACCTCTTGATATTATAATGAAATTTTAGGCCTGTCAATAGCTATGGCAGACGCGTACTTTGCAATACAAAACGATTTTTTAGTCTTACCAGTGACTAGCTATTTTTAATGAAAAAAATAGGACCCCGCTGGTTTTTCTAAAAATATAATTTTTTAATTCCTTGTTCAATTATGAAGAAGAAAGCTTTCCTCAGATTATACGCACCGTACGTCACACCGTTATTGAGTAAAAAAATAAAAAACATTTTATTGCGCACCTAAACCCAATGTTGTTTTAATTGAGAAATTTAAATTATTGAACAAAGAAATTCAAATTATCAAATTTGATTGATTTTTGAAATGTGGTACATACTGTTGTTTGTAGTAGGTAATAATAAGGGGCTGCGTTTTAGAGAAATTTAATTTTTACTGTTTTTTAATGAAATTTCACATTCTGTAGATCGGTAACGAAGCGTTTGCGGACCTATGTTTATAGGACTTTTTTTATAAACTGACCTGAGCAATCACTCCCTTAAATATTGCCGCGTCTTTTTTAAACACACTGTATACAAGTAAAGTATTAAATGCAAGTATTAATAAAAGCTTAATATATTTTTTATTTATTAGTTTTTGGGAAAATACTTACCTACTTTCAAAATAGCATTATCATTTTTGTCATGACAAAATGTTTTTAACGTTCATTCGAATAAAAAACTTAATCAGAATGTTACAATTTTTGCCCAAAAAATGCCTGATACTGGAAATTCTTAATCAAAGTACTACTGTTAATGAATGAAATGAATGACATTTGAAGTTAATTCAATTATTTTTGTTCAAATGGACATTCAAAACTTATTGTTATCTTCCCGTATTCCTTGAAACCTTATTAAGAAATTTTGAAATATTCTTTTAATTTCTAATAATCCTATTGAAATCTTAAGTAATCATTGAAATCTACTAAAATAACTCCGAAATCTCCTGACCTGTGTTGTAATCTTGATTATTTATATGAAATTTGAAATATTTTTTGAATTGATATTGAAATATGCAGATACATTACAAGAGATTTCAGAAATTTTGTAATCTTCGTCTGTTTTTTCCTTGGCGGATTGCCCTTCGGAACACACCAATCGCACCATATAGGTTTCTGTCGCGGTTTCTGTGGCATTCTTTGGAAAATGAGGTAGGGGGGGCGTTGTATAACGGCTACATCGACGAAATTCATTAGCTGATTACATAGATTACAGCAAGGATTACAGATAAGATTACGCAGATTACAGACAGATTACATAGATTACAAATAAGATTACGTAGATTCCAGGGCAAACGTACGAAGATTACATCAGCGGATCGCCCCTCGCTATATACCTAAAAGGTCAAACGTTTTTACAAGAGAGCAAGTCAACGATTTTATCATTCAGGCACCCGATAACACATATTTGCTAATGAGAGTTGTGACGGTCTTAGGCATTGTAGGAGCATGCCGTTCTGATGAGTTATGCAAACTTACTTTGGACGTCAATTTCAAAAATTTCGATGACATTGTAGTTACAATTTCAGATTCTAAAAATGGTATGTCACGTACGTTTACAATTACTTCTCGTCTGGGTTCTGTTTCTCACCTAGAAATTCTCAAGAAATAAATCAAGATTAGATTGGAAATTAAAACTGAAATTTCATGCCTTTTTATGCGCTATCAAGCAGGTAGATGAAAAAACCAACCAGTCGGCAAGAATACCTTTTCTATGATTCCTAATAAGATGCGCAATTTTCGAAACTAGAACATCCTGAAACATATACAGGCCATTCATTCCAAAGAACATCGGCAACGTTACTGCTTATACGGGAGTTGGTGTATTAACAATCAAGAGACATGGTGGGTGGACATCGGCCGCATTGCAGAAAGTTATGTTGCTGACAGTTTAAGTAACAAAAATAAAGTAGCTTTATTATTATCTCGATTAGTAAATAAAACAGTAACGTCTTTAGACTTAAATATAACCGGTTGTTTTAAATTGGTTAGCTGCGGAGCCTAACACTTGGAATACCTGTACTTACGTAGCTAACAGAGAAATCGAAATACAGGAGCTGATTAAGGACTGTGTGTGGAAACGTGTACCTTCTGCATTAAATCCTGCCAATATATCATGCAGCTGCAGTCCTAATGAATTAAGTAAAAACGAATTATGATGGTTCTGTCCTGAATTTCTAAAATATGATTCTAATTCTTGGCCCACATCTGAACATTTGACAAATTCTAATTTACCCGAAAAAAGAAAAGGTTTCCAACTTTCATTTGTTGCATGTAATGTTGATTTTTTTCTTCAATAAATTCTCATCATTTATTAAAACACAAAGTATTTACGTATATTCTTAGATTTTTGTATAATTCGAATCCCAGCAATAAGACTAAGCTTAATGGTTCTCTTACTATCGACGAATTAAATAAAGCATTGATTCTACTTTTAAAAATAACGCAGTTTAAAGTATTTGCTGCGGAATCCAAAGGTTTACAATCAAATAAATGTATTCCGAATTCTAGTAAACTTTTATCATTCGACATATTTCTAGATCACGATGGTTTAATACTTGTAAGTGGTCGAATCAAACGAAGCGATATGAATTTGGATAAAAAACACCAAATATTATTACTATCTGATCATTCATTAACGAAACTTTTAATAGAATATGAGTACCAACGTAATTTACACGCCACGCCGGTCAACAGTCTATTTTGACTGCAAGTAGACAAAAATACTGGCCTATTAATGGCAAACGAGTTGTTTGGTTGTAAGGTTTTAAGGCTAAGACTTCTAATTTAAATCCGCTAATGGGTGATATCCCTAAAACGAGACGGTATAGACCACGCGGGACCAATTTTGATTAAGGTAAGTAAAGACAATTTATCCACAAAAACATTTTTAAACTGGTAGCCCTGTAACCTCATGCGCATGTGTGCCTAAGTTTTTGAATTGTAATCAGTGTCTGCTCAGATATGCGAGAGCGCACGTGTAAAAATAGTTCTTCGAATTAAAGTTATTCCAATCAAGTTTTTTAATTGCACGGGCAAAAGTCCCACCATTTCTTCATTATTATTTATAGCCGTTGGAGATTTTAAATAATACCTTTAAAATAGCATAAATTTTAACAAACCAGGCCAAACGGGCATTGTTCCTGCAATCTGCTTACATAAGCCCTAATTATTTTGTAACTAAGTGACATCTATCCTTTTCGTTCCAAGAAAACTGCCATTTCCTCCCGAAGTTATAAAAATTGAATTAATTAATGAAATCTAGTATGGCATTCGTTGTACCAATATCTGATTTAAAGCCATACTGATTGTTTTATAATAATCTTACATTTTTCCAATAAATTGTTAACCTAACTCTTGACGATTGCTTAAAAATTTATACAATACCGTTTATACCTGACAAACTCATAATTTGTTAGTTTATCATCTGATGGTACAAATTTAATCATATATCAAGTGCTGATAATTTTTAAATTAATATTAAAATAGTCTTCTCTTACCTCCTTTCCTCATCTTCCGATTTTATGTCCACATATTCAGGTTTGATCGACATATCCATCTCGTTAATATCGAATTCCTTGTCCAGATTTTCAGTTTTAACCAACAAATCAAGTGGAGACGTATCTATCCGACTTCCTGTGGCTGAACTACCAAAAATACTTTTTCTTTCTTCTACCTCTGAGCAATCTTTTAGGAAACTGTTGTGAGTACACAGAGAATCAAAGCATTGCTTACAAACGACAGGATCTTTGATGATATTTATATTCTACAAAGCAGTTTTGTTAAATTACAAAATATGCAGGTGTTTAATGTCACTGATACCATTTCAGGGACCAATTTCTCAATAGCTTCAAGTTCTACATCACCTATGCACCTATACTCAGTTTCTACTGGGTGCATACACAATCGACATATTTTCTGACTGCAAACTAATTCACTGTCCTTTTCCTGCTTGTACACTTCTCTTAGGTCGAGCTGTAACATTTTTTCGTTATCCACATAAGGAATAATTGTGTAATCGGTATTCAGACATGTTGATTTGAATTCTGACGCCTTATTTAGTTTTCTTCTGCAAACTTTACATATAACCTCTTTGCTCTCGCTATCAAATTTCTGAAAAATATGCAACATTCATCAGAAAGAAAATAAGTGTAGCGGAAAATAACTCTGAAATACTAAAAGCTGCTTTCTTACCAATTTCAGCAAAAGAACATCTAGAATGTCTCTGATAATGTTGTCTACCACTTCAAAACTTTCATCGGTTATATTTTTAAGGCAAAGCCTACACGGTGTTTCTTTACGATCACTCATTGCTCTGTAACAATCTTCTTTTACATATAAATAGAACACAGATATAAAAAAACATATTAAGCCTTCACTTCTAACCTTCTTGGATTTTTATGGCAGCATAGTCTGCATGGGAGCTTTCGTTTTGGCAAAATTAATACCTATTAGCAACTAATATCAGTTCAGAGTAACTCTAAGTTACTATTAACAGTAGCTCTATTTTTGCCAAATCGAAAGGCCCGCATAGTGCATAGTTGTGTTTGGTTAGAAATAGGAATAAAGTTGGGCGAAGCGAAACAACACTGCGCTGGTTCTTCGCACCAGTTCGAGTGAACCGGTCCCGTCTTGAATACGAAGTGAACAGTCCACCTAGCACCGAAAGACGGTACTAGAGGTAAATTACAGTGATCTGGGAGGACGATGCCCTGCAATATAATTCACACAGTGTAGGTGTCGAGTGTATTTGTTTAAAATTTTTGACCCTGGGTGACCACCCCAATGACCCCCCCCCCTGCCCGCTAACCTTTTCTGTTTCAGAGACAGCCAGGATCAAGAAACGAAGACAACGACACACACACACACACAACACACCCCCCATACCCTCCTTTCCCCTCCCCTCCCGCGCTAGCCTAAGGGCCACCTTAGCAAAGCGCATCCCAGGCTGCATAGCCGCACTACCCTACCCAACCATACCACACATAAACATGACACTACCCCCGGGGTTTACACAGACGAGCCGGCGAAGCAAGAAGAGCGCCAGAAGAAAGGGCCCTAGCCGGCGGGGCCCAGCCAGGACAAAAGGAGGTCCCACAAAGCGCCTACACCGGCCGCATTTGCGGTCGGGGTAGGCGACGGATGGGGCCCATCTACGAAGGCAGTCCAAGCCTACACGAGATGAGGCAGGATAAAGAGGGATAATCCCCCTCGATCCCAAATCATTGAGGCCAATTTCTAGCCATGGAATAATGGCGCGGGTCGCAGTGTAGGTGTAGGTACTAAGAAGAGAAGGAATAATTATGACAAATTCGGCTCAATTGAAATTGAACCAGCTCCCTAAGAGGATCCTGAACCGGTGAACCGTGTTAATAAAATGAGCCGAATTTCCCATCTCTAGTTAGGAATGTTCCGCGCGCCGCAACGCGCGCCTTCTGGGAAAACATCAATACTTTGGGTACGTATTCAGGGACCTAAAATAAACATAAAAGTTCCCATAAACATGGGTCCTATTCTCAGTTGTTACATAACAGGGATAAACAGTATTCAATTTAAAATTTCCAAGGATTTCAAGGTCAAGGTCAATGCCAAGGTCACCATCAGATAGTCAGGGAGAAATCCTGAAACTTCTGTATTTAACATTTCTCTCTAAAATGCTCCCCCGCCGAGTTATTCTGCCGTTCCTGTACTTTTGTTAGTTTGAGGATAGGTCATTCAAGGTCATGTATGTATGTCGGAGAGTGGTGGAATTGTTTTTCCACCGCGGCACTTAGGCCTTATTAGGCCCCCTTGTACACCCTCCTTCATTAATCGAGTACTTTTCTTCAAACCACCCTATTTACTACATGGGTGGCTTGGTGGCAAAGTCTCGTACAGTTTATGTATGATAGCATGGTCTTAAGTTACAGGGATTTTCTATGGTCCTATGGTTCTATGGCCTATGGTCCCCAATAAATGTATTGGGGACCATAGGCATGCGGCAAATGTTGGGCGACCCAGGTCTCTGGTAGGCTGCCACAGCCACGTCCCCGAGCCTGCCTTAGGTCACCCATCCAAATTCCAGCCTGCGTCCGTGATGCTTGCCTCGGCAGATCGAAATCCGCCGGCCAAGACACCCGGTTAGGCGGTCCCCATCACTCAAGGTCATATCTGACCGTAAAATTTTCTGCTCTTCATTTCTGGGGTCAAAAGTATAGGGTCCCATTTGAAAAATCACATTTGAAATTGAAATGATCTTCAAGTTCAAGGTCAATGTCAAGGTCACCATTGGATAGTCAGGGAGAAATCCTGAAACTTTTGTATTTAACATTTTCCTCTAAAATGCCCTCCCGCCGAGTTATTCTGCCGTTCCGGTACTTTTGCTATACCCTGTATATCAGTGCTTCAGAAAAATGTACAGTGTATTGAATTTAAAAAGTTTTAAGCATTTCCGGTTAAACCAGATAGTCTGAGAGAGATGATATATTTATCATATCTGCCTCGGTTAGATCCCCCAAGAACTGCAAGTCATTCCAGACGAGCAGTTCGCCTTCCGACCCAATCACTCCACTGAACTCCAAATCCTTCGCCTTACCGAGCACATCACGGCGGCCTTCAACAGGGGACAGTACACTGGTGCTGTCTTCCTGGACGTCGCAAAGGCCTTCGATACGGTTTGGCATGAAGGCCTACTGATGAAAATGCTCACCAACCAATATCCCATATCCTTTACCAAACTCATAAAATCCTACCTACACCACCGAAAATTCCGCATCCAAATCCAAGATTCCCTTTCCACCACCCGTCCCATGGAGGCCGGTGTCCCCCAGGGCACCGTCCTGTCCCCACACCTATACACCATTTACAACTCCGACATCCCACATCCCCCCAACACCAACATATACTTATACGCCGACGACCTGACAATCACATCCCAATCCGTAGATCCTAGATATTCCGTCTCCCTCCTCCAAAACTCCTTAGACCAACTTGAAACCTGGTGCAACAGGTGGAAAGTCAAAATTAATCCCAACAAAAGTTCGGCTATCCTTTTTACCAAACGAAAAATCCCACAAAACCTCGACAGACTGACACTATCCCAGGAACCCATCTCCTGGAATCGACAAACACGATACCTGGGCGTGACGATGGACCAGCGTCTCACGTGGAAACCGCACATCGTGGAGACGGTGGCGCGAGCGAAGACCACCAGGGCTAGGCTCTATCCCTTACTCAAAGGTGGAAACACCCTCAGTTTAAGGAATAAGCGAACGCTTATCAAGGTGGTACTTCAACCGCAGCTAACCTACGCCTCCACGGCGTGGGGTCACGCGGCAAAAAGCCACTTAAAGTCATTACAGGCTGTGGAAAACATAGCCCTCCGCACGGCCACCGACGCGCCCTGGTACGTAAGAAACACTGACATATTACGAGACTTACAATACACAAACGCTACACAGACAATAAGACAAAACGCGGAGAAACGATTTGACGTAGCCGCTAGACATGACAATCCCCTCCTCAGGCAAGCCGTTGACTACGTACCCGACGTGACCGACAAACACAAAAGACCTAGACACCAACTTTTTGACCCTGGGTGACCACCCCAATGACCCCCCCCCTGCCCGCTAACCTTTTCTGTTTCAGAGACAGCCAGGATCAAGAAACGAAGACAACGACACACACACACACACACACACACCCACACCCCCCATACCCTCCTTAACCCTCCCCTCCCGCGCTAGCCTAAGGGCCACCTTAGCAAAGCGCATCCCAGGCTGCATAGCCGCACTACCCTACCCAACCATACCACACATAAACATGACACTACCCCCGGGGTTTACACAGACGAGCCGGCGAAGCAAGAAGAGCGCCAGAAGAAAGGGCCCTAGCCGGCGGGGCCCAGCCAGGACAAAAGGAGGTCCCACAAAGCGCCTACACCGGCCGCATTTGCGGTCGGGGTAGACGACGGATGGGGCCCACCTACGAAGGCTGTCCAGGCCTACACGAGATGAGGCAGGATAAAGAGGGATAATCCCCCTCGATCCCAAATCATTGAGGCCAATTTCTAGCCATAGAATAATGGCGCGGCGCGGTTAGATCCATACATTTACTCATCTCGGTATGTGCGAAACCCCGACGTCACAAAAAAAGTTTCCGCTCTTGAATAAGTAAAGAAATAAATATATTTATATTATGTTATAAAGGTACATATTAAAACATATATTAGACAATAACGTCATTTTTTCCTTCTTCCTTCCTGGTTTCGTTTTCTGTCTCTCTCTCTCTTTGGCTTTTATTAACCACATTTTTATAGCTTGCTCTATTAGGCAATCCTATTCCAAACCACGTGACAAAATCGGGAATCAATATGGCGTCGAAGGCAAACATTTGTTTGATTCATATAACATTGTGTGTGGTTGTTAAGAGTTTGCATTTTGCTGTTGGCTTGGCTTTGGTTTTTTGAACTTTAACTGTATAGCATATGAGTAACTAAATAAGAGTGTTTTATTCTGTGTATTCTGTCGGCAGCAGCGGCAGAGTACCGCCATCTGTAGCTGGTGCAGCAAACGACACACTCGGAAACCACAGACCACAAAATAATTAAGGAAACTGCATTGGAAAACACAATTAGAGTAACCATTAATTCTACTATCTAATAGATGTCGCTGTACCATAATGACGGTAAATTTAAATGTAACAAACTGCACAAAGAATAAAAAGTGTTTCATAAGTAATAGATCACGATACATCTATTAATAGATAGTTTAATTTCATTGAAATTAACGTGAACCATTAACAGCTGTTCCATGACCCATTACTTATGAGACACTTTAATTATCACTTGGTTAAATGAAAAAGTTAAGGCAGTTAAAGATGCTTAAATGTGTGACAAATATATAAATTCATTTTATGAATTCGAAAATATTTAAGTATCAAAAAAATGTACAGAACCTTTGTAATTATTTTTTAAAGAAACCATTAAAAACTGCAAATTTTAAAGAATTTGAAAGAATTATTTACCTGGCTTTATGTAAAATGCATTATACAGTGACTTGACAAAAATTATGGTTAGATACATTTGTTTCTAATTGGTTTTCATCAGTACGATGTAATATACTACACTTATAGCACTTATAGCATGTAACAATTTTAAACATATGCATTTCGGTTTTTTAAAAGGTGGATGTGAAAAATCATCCTAAATTGAAGTTCAGCAGCTCGTACTATGAAAATTATGTAATGTTACGTTAGCAAATTGTTTTGCTGAATGTTGGATACTATCCGAGGATTCCGTGGTGATATTATTACAATTAATAGGTGAACTTATA